CCCCCTCGCTCGGCGAGTTGAAGAACTCCGATTGCTGCGCAGGGGCGACGACCTGAACGCCGACCGTAAACTCGCGCAATGACTCGTACCCAAAGCCGCCCTCGCTGCCCTCGCCGCCCTCCCTCGGCAGCGCAAAGAAGGCGCCCGCGCGGCGGCTGGCCGCCGCCCACGCCGCCTCGGTCTTGGGCTGCTTGGTACTGCGCTCGATGCCGGCCTTTGCAGCGTTCAAGTGCGGCGGTGAGGTGGGGGGAGCAAGAGAGAGAGAGAGAGAGAGAGAGAGAGGGGGGGGGGGCGGGCAGGCAGAGGGGAGGGCACGTTGGGCGGGGTCGGCGCCTTGAGCGCACTCGCCTCCGCTCCCGACAGCCGCGCCTCACCGTCAAGATGCGCCTGCTGAAGCAGTGCGATTGGCTGTGAATGAGTCACTGCCACCGACTCCCGGCCGCTGGCGAGGTGCGCCTGGCCGAGGAAGACCTGCGCGATAAAGTAGCCAAACTGGATGCAGCCTATCGGTGCGGCGGGAGAGATGTGAGGGTGCCCCGGTGGCGCGGGAGGGGAGAGGCAGCGCTCGAGCCCTGGTACAGCCGCGCAGCCTGCAGCCGGTCGAAGCGGCCATTGACGCTAGGCTCGTTGGACGGGGCAGACTCGCCCACAAAGGCTCTGACCTGGCGCGCGCTCTGGCCCGGAAAGCGCTGGCTCACCCTGACGAGGCTGCACGCGTCCGGCGGCAGCCCGGCGGCGGGCGCAATGGAGGCGGCCGACGGCAGCAGCGAGAGCTGCGCCTACATGAGAGCCGCACCCGGGTCCGCTGGCCATCCACTCCCACGCTCCTCGGCCAGAGCCGCAGCACCTCGGAGAGCTGCCGCTCGACGGCTACCGCGAGGAGGTCGGCGAGAGCGTGCCGCTGCCCCTCCAGCGCCTGCACGGCAGCGATGCGGCCCTGCAGGCTGCCGCTACCCTCCGCCGCGGCGCGAGTGGCCCGCCCGTCCAGCGCGGCGACCGCCTCCCGCCATGCTGCCGGAAAGGTGCTGGCGGTGAGCGCAGCCATCAGCTCGGCGCCCTCCGCCGTCGTGCCGGCCTGGTACAGCACGGTCGGCGGCAGCGGCCCCTCCGCCGCACGCCGCTCCCCGGCTAGCAGCAGCAGCGGCGCCGCGACAGCGAGCGCACCAGCGAGCGGCAGGAGCTCAGCCGCTTCGAGCAGCTCAGCTTTGCGCCCTCCTCGGTGTGACGACGGACTGACTCTCGGTGGGGCAGCGAAGTGTGGAATGACGTACGCCAGCGCCGAGGAGGCGCAGGCGAGCGCCATGGGTCCCCACCTTGCGTCCACCGCGTTGGTGTCCAGTTCCGAGCTTGGCTGTTCTTCACGTAAACACAACCCCGGGCCCGAAATCGCACAGAGTCACCTTTCTACCTACCTACCCCACCTGCACGAGCAGGATTTTGGAAGGACGATCAGGGGCACAGGTGGGGCTCTCCTGCTCCTGACAAGGGTCACCAGCGCGGTGCACGACGCGGTGGAATCCCAACTCCACTACTGGCGGTCTCCTCTCAGTCTAGCGACCTGCCTCCGGCTGCTCACCGGCAGTCTCTCACTACCACGGGCACACTGACACAGGGGTGGCAGGGGCGGCGGCATGAGTCTCCCACATACTATGCGGGCCTCACACTAGAGGTGCGGCCTGCGCGTGTCCTCCCCTTGGGAAGGGGCTGTGTGTGTCTGTGCATGCATGCATGCATGTGTGTGTGTGTGTGTGTGTGTGTGTGTGTGTGTGTGTGTGTGTGTGTGCGTGTGCGAGCCGCCCTGAACGCCACGAGCGCGCCGCGAGCGCCGTAGCGCCGGTGAGCGCCGTCGGCAGCGCGCGACCGCCACCCAAAAGTGGAGGTACATCAGGAGCCGCTGCCGGCCTGCTCTATCAACCCCGCAGCCGCGGTGGCGCGGACGGCACGCCGCCGGCGGACCGGAGTTCTTTTGGAAGTCCCGTGCCCAGTGTTGTGCGAGGGAGTTTAGTTGTAAAATTCTGACCTGTTCCGACCTTGATTGATCCGACCTTGATCAGACCGTCATCACTTTGATCATGGGTCGGATCATGGTCGGATCAGGGGCGGAACAGGGTGAGCCCCGTGGTGACGGTCCTATTTCCGGACCTTGATCCTTTCGTGATCAGCCCCCATGCTCTGACCATGTTCGGCAGCATTCGAACACGGTCGGAACAGGGTTGGTAGGTAGGTAGAAAGGTGAAGAACAGCCAGGCTCGGACTGGACACCAACGCGGTATGGGTGGAGCGGTGGACGCTAGACAGATGATGACGACACGCACGAGCGACACACAGACACAAACAGGCTCACAAGACACACAGCCAGCTGGCTGCCACACACCCTGAAGAAAGATCTCACACCCTGAGTAGGCGTACACATAACTCAGGGCCACATCCTCCCTGTCGCCCCCCCCCAAGCACTCCAAGGCACCAGAAGAACAAACAAGGGCACAACGGATGTTCGTCATC